GTCCATATCATCTATTTAAGAATTTAGTAACTCCTGTGGATTTGTGAATTTTAAATTTTGAATTTAATACAATGATGATATCATTAAAGTTTAAATATGTTACTTTATACAAAAATATGTTTGTCTTTACTATCTCACTTTTGATTTCTTTTTATTAAACGTTCTATGAAATATTGTATTCAATTTTCGGTCGTTTGAAACAATAACTTATCTAAGATTTGATTTAATAAATTTTTATGTAATAAAAATTTATATTATAAGTGCTTAAAATTTAATAAGTTGTTGTATTTCAATATATATTTTAACAAATACTTATATAATTTTTAAAGTTTTTAGATGTATCATTATTTAGAATATTATCTCATTTAAAAAAATTTAAAACTATAAATTAAATTGACTAAAAAAAATATAAATATAAAAAAGTAACAAAATAATTGTTAAAAAATAAAATTATATATCACAATAATACTTAAAAAAATAATCACATTCACCTAATTTTAGTTTATAATAAAATAAGATTAATAATAAATATGAGAAATTAATTATATATACAATCATGATTTAAAATTAAGAATCATCTCCTTTAAAAATTAAAAAATCAATTCTACATATTTTATAAAATCATGAGTAAAAAAATTTATTGTATAAATATTAACAACATATTTATTCTAGATGTGCTATTTTATAGAGAAAAAAAATGTTTCGAGGTTTTCTTTATAATAAGAGGAATGTGAATTTTGAAGAGAAGAGATTGAAAAAATTTGGAAAGAAAAATAAAGAGAAACAAATTTTTTTGAAAGAAGTAATAATATATATATATATATATATATATATATATATATATATAAAACTAGTTTTGAGTGAAAATTGAAAAATAGATAAAAATAAAATTATTTACATCAATAATAGAATTCAAACTTAGATATTTTCCAATAAGTTTTTCCATAAGTAATAAGTTATACATAACAAATTATTAAAATAAGTTTAAAATATTTGATAAACTGTTCATAAAATATTTTATAAGTTTGTCCAAACACACTCTCACATAAGTATTTATAAAATAAAATAAGATATTTATAAACTCTTAGAAACAAAATTTAAATCAAGAAATTTAGCTTATATGGTTGAACACCACGATGTTATAAACTTTTTTAGTACGTGTTTATTTCTCATGAATAAATAGAATCTTATAATATTAACCACTTAAAATCAGTGGGCATTTCTTCATGATTAGTATATTTGCATGATGAGTATTTCCTGGGCAACTTGGTCTCTTCCTCCAAGTTCTAACTTCCTTATGTGCCTATGTTGTTGCATTGCGTATCTCTAGAAAGAAGAAAGTTTGTCTTGAAAATAAATTGGAAAATTATGTGGCTAAGTGATCAAGTCAAAGTATGGACAAAATGATTAGTTCCATGTCTTAAGTGCATGCCTGTGAGGCTGTGACCTATATCTCCCAAATCCTAAATTTAGTACAACCTGCTCCATGCCTACCCCACTTTTAGCAAGGGAAAGATTAAAGATAGATGCCTAACTCCCACATTAATCTCGTTTGCTAATTGTTAATTACGAAGGGAAAGTATCCCTACTTTTTGAGAGTGGTACCAACCATGAGTCAATTGAAGGAAGAACCCTCAAATTTTGTTCAATCCCTTTCCACACTTGTAATTTTCTGCCCTAGTAAGTTTTTTCTATTTGCTCAAAAGATATACTCTAGTTCGTATTTTAAAAGCACATTTTTATTAGAAAACTATTTATAAACAAAATTCAAAATATATAAATACATTTATAAATACATATTCTTGATTGTGCATAAGTTCCATGAAAATCACTTATAAACACACTAACACTTATAAATGATAATTGAATAGAGTAATGCACCGTAGAGAAATTATGTAATTGAAAGAGATAAACAAGTGATAATTAATTTGTTTAAGTTGTAAGCCCTAGTTTTATTACTTTATATTCCATTTTCTACCAAGTCTATCAATAAATAGGGGTGTGTAAGCAGGTTGGGTTGGATTGAATTTGGATAAACCCGTTACTCAATCTGATCAAAATTGAACAGGTTGGGTTGGATTAGATTTGTGCATTTTTTTTTAAAAAAAAAACCCCAATTTAACCCAACTCAATCTTGAACAAGATGAACAAATTTTATAGCAATATTGTTCATCGATCTTCGTAAACGAATATCCAAAGCTTAGTGAAATCTAAATTCTATATATAGCAAACCATGCCTATAATTAGCAAAAAAGAAATTAGTAACAAGTGGGTAAGAAAAAGAGAAGATGCCATGAACCAATAATTAGCAACAGTTTTACCAAGAGGGAGGTAGATGTCCGCACAATATGTACACATAAATGACCCCATGGAATGGCCACAAATATAATGTACACATGTGGCTGCTATTTATCAAAGTTGGTTAAGGTACGATCAACATTATTATGTGATCCATTTCTATATGTACACTGCACATGTATATCCAAAACAATGTTAGATAAAAGCAACTCCACCAAACGTATGTAACGCATCCTTGTCTATTTCTGATCTAATTATAATATTTTTATTTAGTTTTGATTATAAATAATAATCATTAATTTTTTAAGTTATTTAAAATTAATTTTTTATATCTTTAATTTATTATTAACTCCATTTTATAAGAGCTAGTATGCTTAGAATTAATACTACATATAACAATCAATATTTAGAATAAAATTTAAATTTATGATAAAAATAATTAAAAGTAATTGTATTCTTAATATTTTGTGATATGTTATTTATAAATAGGATAGGGGGCAAAGTAATATTTAGTAATCTGTTGATGCGTTGAGGATCTAGAGATGAATCGAAGAGGACCCACTAGAAGTGATGCATGTGATGTGGAGGAGGTTCAACCAATTTAACAATATGGAGGATTTAGAAAGCAGAGAAGGGAGAAGGAACCCAAATTGGTATTAGAGGGTCTAAGAAAGCAATTAATTAAAAAACCTAAAGTCCCCTACCTTAGGGCACATGCTGGCTGCGGTATTTATCAAAGAAAAACCACAAATTTGGTGAGGCTTGGGAGCTGTAAGTAAAATAAAAGGGAAGAAATAAAATAAAAATATATGATGGAAGGTTCTAATGTCTCTACCTAACACTTTTGAAAAAGGAAAAAGGTAAAAGGGATGGTTGATGGTTCCCCATTATCTATGGGAAGGGCATAGCTGGTTGAAAATTAGCTACCACCCCTTCTGTCCTTTACGCTCCTAGTTACTATCTAATACTATTACAAACACAAACGTTTTTCAGAGTTTCAAAATGTATTTTATGGTCTAATAAAACATTTTCAGACGAATATCATATCACATTTTCAAAATGTAATGTTATTAGGTTGGGAAAAACATCCCCATTAATCGAAGCCACCCAGAAGTGGGCAATCCAATGTGTGACCCCATGACATGACCCTGAGTTAATGCGGCAGATAAAATTTGAATGGTTGGTAGGATCAATTTACTGCCAATTTCATTTTAGTTGTTCCCATCTTTTAATGTGATTTATGCCATTTACCTATTCAAAAGTTCCTTATATATTGTCAATACGCAATAATAATGTAGCTATTAGCTAGTAGCTCGCTAGTATTGAGAAAGCGTACCCGCACCAAGCAACCAGATCATTTAAACCCCAAAAAGTTAAGAAAGATAATCACGCAACTACCATTATATGACCTAAAACCACCACAAAACATTCTTTAAATAACTAACCATGAATATGGATATAGATTGAAAACAAGGGTGCTCATTCAATACAACTAATTGAGGGTTTAATTAACCTGACGAAACCAATTAAGTACCTAATTAATATAATTGTGTCAGATCCATGGATCCAACCAGCTTTTACCTTCTCTAACTTGTTTGTAAATATGGTTAAGGCATGAAGACTACGTATCACCAAATTTAGAAAAACATAGTGCATACTGATCTCTGTGTAAGGTAAATAAAGTTGGGCAAAATCTAGGTATGTTCGCATCTATATGTGCCAAAGTTAAAAAGTTGGTTGGAGCATGGCCTAAATAATTAAATGTTCATGAGGTTGGTAGAACCAAACAACATGTGGTACTACGGACTCTGTTTCTTCATTCACGCGTTTTATCTATGTATCACTACTTCATACGTATTCAGCTACCTATAACCGTGAATCAGTGGAAAACTGGAACATAGTCAAGATACTATGTTCAAAATATTTTATTTTTTCACATTTGCTAAGCCACGTGTTTCATGTAAATACATGACAAAGTTTATGTAAATACCAAAAGATGCTAACACCGTAGTTTGAAACTCATATTTCTTAATACGGAATATCAGAGTTTGATTTCAATTTAGTCATAAAATCGTAATTAGAATGGAACGGCATGGTAAAAAAAAAAAAAAAGAGGGAAATTATACCTCTTATAATCAAGACAAATACAAAAATAAAATGAGATTTCTTATATTTAAAAATGTAGGGAACATTATTTTATTCCATGTCAAAAATTTCTCCTCCTCTCCCAGCTTATCCATTCACTGTTTGTGTATACATGGATATATCTATCATCTCCTTTTTCCTTTTAATTTTTCTCCATAAAAGACAAGCCCGAAAGCCTCCAAAAAGATTCCAAATAGAATTCAAAGAGGAAGAAAAAGGGAAAAGAAGATCATCACCCACAGGCTTAGTGGTCTTTATATATATATATATATATATATGACGCATGAATGCACACACACATACACATAATATTCATCCCAAGAACAACAAAATCACAAGATTTGTAACGCAATTGTTTGATGCATCCATGTGAAGCCGCGAATAATTATATACTCAAACTCTGGCTCGGATGTAAGTAAATTAATTCATTAAAAAATTAAGAAAAGATTAACTACAACTCGGGATGTGATGAACTGATGATGATGCAGATAAGTTATTGAATTGAATCATATACATACAAATATAGAGTAAAATATAATGAAAAGAGCTCATTCAAATTGGAAATGGAAAGATAGACTTGTATTGCAGACTCAAATGAAATTCATGATCTCTGAATCACTACCACTAGATTCAATTAAATTAAGAGGAAGCAGTAAAAGAAAGGCAAGAGTGGGGAATAATGAAGAACTGTACGGGTACTATATATTATGCATCAGCAACTAATTATTTATACAAAATAAGAGAAGAAAAGAAAATAGGAGAGGAAATTCAAAATTAAAGAATTGATTCTCTCACTTCTCTCCAGCACTAACTAATTGTAATGGTTTTCATTTCATTTCCAAGGTGGTGCAATCCCAAACAGCGTTGGTTTTCAAGCCCAAGAAATCATAAGCAGAAGCAGAAGCAGGAGAAGTGTTGTTGACAGTGGGAGTGTTGGCAACGCTGCAGCTGCAGTCCTTGCTGTTCTGCAAACCCAAACTGCATACAAAGCAAAGGGTCTTCTCAGGTTGACGAGGAGGACTAATGGTAAGTTCAAGGTTCAAATCAGGGCACCGTTCCAAGATTGAACCTTTAACAACCACGCTTCCGTTGCTACTACTTGTTTCTTGTTGCTCTTGTTTGCCGAAAGATATGTTAGTGGCAGTCACAGTTGCAGCGGAAACGCCTTCGTTAAGAGGCCTGTGAGTTGCAGGGTCGATTCCTCTGTTCAAAAGCTTCCTTCTTATGTGAGTGTTCCAGTAGTTCTTTATTTCATTGTCTGTTCTCCCGGGCAATCTTCCAGCTATCAGGGACCACCTAAAACAACAACAACAACATCGTATTACAATTTGAGAAAAGGTTGTGCTTTACTAATATACTATCTCTTCCATCAGGCTTTGATCCATTTCTCTTACTTGTTGCCGAGGAGGCTGTGGAGTTTGATGATGAGTTCATCCTCTTCTTCGGTGAAGTTGCCGCGTTTGAGGTCGGGGCGGAGGTAGTTGATCCACCGGAGGCGGCAGCTCTTGCCGCAGCGGAGGAGGCCGGCGGCTTTGGGGAGGGAGCGCCAGCAGCCCTCCCCGTGTGCTCGAATGTAAGATATGAGTCTGTCATCTTCTTCCTTCGTCCATGCACCTTTGTTTGTGTGAGCTTTCTCACAGCAAGGAGACCTTCCCATGGTCACAATTCACTTGAGTTCTCTTGTCTTGTTTTTCTCTGTTTCCTTACTCTAGAGGATATGATATGATTATAGGATTGCAGGAACAACGAAGCCGGCTCAAGAGGGAGTGGGGGTGTGGTTTTATAGGCTTTTGACTCCAAGGGATAGGGGACAGAACACACACAAAAGAGAGAGAGAGAGAGAGAAGGGTGACCCTAATTGCTTCTAGATGCGAGTTGGTGAGACAGGTTAAAGAGAGTGGCTGTTGGCTCTTTCTTTCTCCCTCTCTCTCTCTCTCCCTATCTGATGATATATTTATACTATATTTGCATCAATGATATAACTAGTTAAAAGACATTAACTATGGGTAACCTTCAGGTTGGTGTAAAGTAGAATGTATTAAAGTATGGGCAAGGCAAGACAAGATGTGATCTCTTGCCCCTTTTTAGGAAAAGAGCAACATATTTTACATCTCATACGCTTTACCCCTAATATAAAACCCAAACTTGATTATTAATCATGTACCAAGTAAAAAATTCGGTTCTCAATAATTGCTGAGTAAAATGTCAAGCTGTGGTTATGTAAGGAGTAAGCTATCTCTATAGTTAATCATTTAGAATTAAAGAAATGGCTAGTTCTTTTACAGTACATGTGACAATGGAATCAAATTGAAGTTAGAGAGACTTTTAATATTGAAATTTGACTTAATTAGAAGGATCTACCTACCTTAACACGTTTGAGTTTTGATTCTTATTATTATCTTGGAATGTTACAACCTCTCATCTATCTAAACTTTGTTTTTTAATAACTTACATGTGTGTATGCACACAAGACGGTGCGATGTTTCCGAGCTGATAACTGCATAATGGTAGTTTAATCATGTGTATAAAAGTTTCTGTAAACGTTTGGTCATCAATGTTTCTCATTTCTTACATCATAAACGTAATTTTTAAAATACTCTAATAATAGTTCGTTTTACGGCACATCACAGTTATTCAGTAATTTTATTTTTACTTGTTCCGTGAAAATGACCACCTAATGTTTTAATAGAGTTAGTTAATAATATATGCAGAATTTATATGTGGATAACCAACCAATAGCATGCCTTAAGAGCATCATGTGAGTTTAATTTCGGTAAGTTAGTTGCAACGGGCAATTCCCTGAAAGAAATGTATCAGTAGTTGGCTATTCATGTGCAAAAGCAAAGAGGTGGTAATGGTAGTTGTGTTTCTTTATTCTATTGGTGCATTATGATGCATGAGAGAGAGAATAGACAAGTTTCTAGAAGTGTTGGAGGTTGGGTGCAAGGAAGGATGTTGAAATAAGAGAAGGGGAGAATGGGAAATGGGAAATGGGAAATGGGAAATGAGGGAGTGTGGTTGTGGTTGTACATGGGCTTTGGTTTACCTTCCACTTCCACTTTTCGTATTTCTCTTTCCCCCGAACCTTGTGTTACAAGTTTGGGGAAAGGTTGGGATCGGGGGACTCATGTATCTTTTCGTTGTCATCTTCGCTCCCCCAATTGCATATTATTGTAGTAGTTATCCACTCTTTCTCTTTCC